ATCATTTAGGCCGCTCAGGTCTCGCAGGCTGGTGGGCCCGAGCTCCAGCAAGCATAATAGCAATAGTCTTAATACTACTCCTAAGAACACTACAAATAAGTACTACTAATGGTATTGCTCACATTAATGATGATGATAATAATAATAGCAATAATAGGAAATGTAGGAAATGGTAATCATCGCGATAATAACAGTAATAATAACAATAATAAAAGCAACAAAAAATATTGATAACACCAACTAGAAACAACATATTTTAGGGGACCCCACCCAAAATAGCACAGACAATTAAACACATTGTTGAGGCCTCTATATTACACGCCGCCCACAGTCTTCAAAGCAGGAGGGCGACACCGGCTCATGTAGGCGAACTCGTGATTCCCACGGTTCCTTGGATTCAGGGGGGTTTAGGGTTCAGGGTTTAGGGGTTTAGGGTTTTATGTTTAGGGGTTTAGGGTTTAGGGTTGCGCTAGGGAAATAAGGGTTTAGGTTTAGGTTCCTTGGATTCAGGGGCGTGGGAAAGTCTTGTTTTTTGTGTCACTGGATGCCACACTTAGCTGAGGGCTCATTGGGGTTTGCCAGGTTTTTATCAATTCGTGCTTTTTCGGAGCCTTACGAGGTGATCATTACTGAACAAGGTGTGTATGGGCGGTGGTGGTGGTGGTGGTGGTGGTGGTGGTGGTGGTGGTCGTCGGGTGGGGGTGGGGGTGGTGGAGCTGGTGGCGGTGGCGGCGGCGGTGGTGGTGGTGGTGGTGGTGGTGGTACTAGTAGTAGCAGCGTCGTAGTTGTAGTTTCGTGGTAGAGGTAGTAGTGCCTACTTACTATGAACTCTGACCGTGTAAGTCGGGGGTTCCGATACCAACCCTGCAAGTACAATTTCTAGCCTGGAAGATGCCTATACCCAAGGCCAGGAGGACTTTAACTGCTATGACTCCAAATGGCCCCAAACCCTAAACCCAATGACCCTAAACCTGAAGCCCTAAACCCTAAGCCAAAAACCCAAGCTTTGAAAGCCCTGAAGAATAAAGCCTTCGGCCCCTCTAGCCAGCTAAGCCAACATCCTACGTTTTTCCGAAGCCAGGCCTGGCCAAAGCCCTGAAGGATAATCTGGAATCTTCGACTCGTCCTGAGTCCTACTTGGAGGCCCTTTTGACTTAGTAAGTAGGGTTAGTAAGGTGGGTTATGGGGATTATAATAGGGTTTCTGGGGGATACTAAGTAGACTTACTAAGTCAAAAGGGCCTCCAAGTAGGATACCCAGTAACCTAAGAATAAAAAGGCCTCTCTTTTTGGTATTGGGTAACTCTATAAGGAACGTAGGACTACAAAAAGGGAATAAGGGTACTGCTGGGCATCCTAGAGTCTCAACGGTTGAACTATGGGCCAGGAGTTCCAAAATCCCAACTCCTCAACCCCGAAAGCCCTAAACTCTCAACCCCTGAACCCTTGAACGGCAAAACCCCAAACCCTGGCACCAAAAAGCCCTAACCCCCCAAACCCCTGGACCCTAAAGCCCTAAACTAAACCCCGAACCCTTGAACCCTAAAGCCCCAAACTAACCCCCCAAACCCTTCGACCCTAAAGCCCTAAACTAAACCCCAAACCCTCGAACCCTAAAGCCCTAAACTAAACCCCAAACCCTTGAACCCTAAAGCCCTAAACTAAACCCCCAAACCCTTGAACCCTAAAACCCCTAAACTAACCCCCCAAACCCTTGGACCCTAAAGCCCTAAACTAAACCCCAAACCCTTGAACCCTAAAGCCCTAAACTAAACCCCAAACCCTTGAACCCTAAAGCCCTAAACTAAACCCCAAACCCTTGGACCCTAAAGCCCTAAGCTAAACCCCAAACCCTTGGACCCTAAAGCCCTAAACTAAACCTCCAAACCCTCGAACCCTAAAGCCCTAAACTAATCCCCAAACCCTTGAACCCTAAAACCCCTAAGCTAACCCCAAACCCTTGGACCCTAAAGCCCTAAACTAAACCTCCAAACCCTCGAACCCTAAAGCCCTAAACTAAACCCCAAACCCTTGAACCCTAAAACCCCTAAGCTAACACCCCAAACCCTTGGACCCCAAAGCCCTAAACTAAACCCCAAACCCTTGGACCCTAAAGCCCTAAGCTAAACCCGCCAAACCCTTGGACCCTAAAACCCGTAAACTAACCCCCCAAACCCTTGGACCCTAAAACCCCTAAACTAAAGCTCCAAACCCTCGAACCCTCTTGGAGGCCCTTTTGACTTAGTAAGTAGGGTTAGTAAGGTGGGTTATGGGGATTATAATAGGGTTTCTGGGGGATACTAAGTAGACTTACTAAGTCAAAAGGGCCTCCAAGCTGAACCTCCTGTCGGGGGTCAAGAACACGGTACCGGGCTCCGCGACGGCCATGGCCGCCAGGGCCAGCATTGTCTCGACCTCAGCTGGCAGGGGCCTGAAAAAAAGGGCCTTAGGGTTTTGCCTTCAGGCCTTCGGGGGCCGTCGAATTGGGTCTGGGGTTTAGGGATTCTGCCTTGGGAGGCCCCTGATGGCCGTCGAATTGGGTCTGGGGTTTAGGGGTTCTGCCTTGGGAGGCCCCTGATGGCCGTCGAATTGGGTCTGTTTAGGGGTTCTGCCTTGGAGGCCCCTGATAAGAAGCCTTCGCTTGCTTGAAGCAAGCACCATTTCTGCCAAGGGTTCAGCCGGCCGCCAGCTGATCGAACGAACAGCTGGCTTCATCATTTAGGTTCGGATGGCTCCGCTGCCTCCCGGTGGCGGATTCTTATACACGTGGGTGGTTGTCAAAATTATGGCCCCTTTTTGGGTCCCTATTTTTTATATTATACGGCACCTACTATTCAGGGTACCCAAAAACCCTTGCATCTGTGAACGAAGTGCTCTGGCAAGTCCGAAGCCGGGAGCCTCGACACTTTCTCGCCCTGACCTTTATCGCGATCCTTGTCTTATTTTGGGGTCCTTATAGTAAGGATTCTACTATTCAGGGTACTTGATGAGGGTCCCCTATTTTCGGAAACTCCCAATAGGATCCCTTATAGAGCCCTCACCCTGGTCCTGAAGACCTTGCGACCACTGCTTCACTAGACCCAAGAGTAGCCTAGGAATAAAAAGGGTGCCCTTTTCGGCTTAAAGGGGCTTATAAGGGAACCTGACCCCCAAAAAAGGGAATAAGGGCCTACTCTAGGTCCTAGTTCATCTGATGGTTCGAGTTCTCGGGGCTCGCTCCAGATGTACCTGTCTTCGCTCGGTCCTTTCAAGGCTTTCTCGTGGCAATTCCCTTCGCAACGGGTGCTGCTACAGATGAAGTAGAACCTGAAGCTCGAAGCTCATGTGGCGATGATGTGATAAACGATGACCATGCCATGATGATGACGAGGATGATGACGGTCATGATGATGTTGGCAAAGTGGACGTTAGCAACCCCCCCCCACCCCCACCCCCCCAAAGACCTGGATACGAGACCCCGAAAACGGAAAACACGCACGACAGTAATCCATGCGCTAGCATAGACAACCTCGGTTGAGGTTGTGGGTTTAGGGCAAACGCCCTGCTTTACATTGAAGCATGAAGCTCTGAGTTTGCAAAGCCCCATGGAGAGTCTTTACATGTTATGATACCTATAGATCATAACAAATAGCCGCTTTAGAAGTGTGATTTCGGAAACCCTCTTAATCAGATCCCTGTCCCGCGGGTCGTGTCTTTTAGATACTTGGCGCTGCAAACCAATGCCCCGAGCCCTTATGAAGCGCTATAGCACACAAAAGCCCGATAAAGTCGTCCGTGACAAAAACTTCAGAAGCCCCAAACGCAAACCGTTAGTAGCGGCACAAAGCCTACCAGCCCCCCAAAACTCTGCAACATTCTCCTCAAGCTCTAAGCCCTAAATAAAGGGGCCTGACTAATCATCAACATTATTCCTTAGCCTTCCTTACGCTGATTATAGCATAAAATACCCCAGAACCCTATCCTTTTTATCAAGGCCCCTATATTCGACCCACCAACCCCAGCTCCGAAAAAACTTATAAACCTACGCCTTCAACTTCATGTTCACTCCACGGCACCGAGCGGGTGCCGCGGTCGACGAAGTCGCCGTTGAAGAGGAACCTCGAAGCTGCTTTCGGGCTTACTTGAAGGTTCATGGGTAGGGGTTTAGGGTTAAGGGTTCTATAGGGTTTAGGGTTTAGTAATTTAGGGTAGTCATAAGTGGGGTTATACGTCTGATAGTATGGGTCATAGCTATACTATAGGGTTTGGGGTTTAGGGTCACTAATACCCAAGTGGCTGGACGGTTAAACAGGTTGCTGACTAGAGGCTCAGAGTTTGGGGTTGGTGGCGAAGATGGATATGTAATGTAGGGGCCTGATTAAGAAACCTTAGGCCTTTTTTCGGGTTCCTTCTATGAATCCTGCTATTTTGGTGTCATAGGCCCAGGGTTTCTTAATCAGATTCCTACATTACAAAAACAGCTCCTTCACCCCTAAAGGCGAAGAGCCCCGGACTGGAACCAATGGGCTCCATGCATCTGGGGCTTACCTTAGCCTGTTTGGTAGGGTCCCTTTTCAATTCCAAGCTCGAGTTTATGATAAATTCGTAAAGAGAAGCAGCATTATGGTAGGGCTTGGGTTCTGTAAGATCTGAATATATGAATACGGCCTACTACTGTTCCTATTCTTCTGATATGGAGCCCCCCCTGCCCCAAACAACGGAAAATGTCGGGGGTCGAGGGTCTGGAAAGCCCCACTATCCTATACTGAACTTAGAACCCTGGCAAAAATGATAACTTCGCTGTTTCTTAGGAAGTATAGAAACCAAAAATTAAAAATCATTTCTAAGTACCCCTAAGCCCTAAGTATCCCCAACAAGTCAAAGACGCAGGAGGCCCTAAATATTTTCAGACCCCTTATCAAGAGGATGTCAACAATAGAACCTGCCGAAACGGTATCCTACTACGATGTGGCTTAACCTCGGCCTTTTTGGAAAGGTGCTCTGTATCAGATTTTTACAAGGTCAACCTCCGCATTGGCCTCCGTCACGCAAAAGGCATACAACCTCCAAGTGATCATTCTGAACTGCGATGGACAAAGGGGTGCTGCCATCATTAATGGCCTTCTGCTTGTCCGCACTGGCCTCCAGCAAAAGCCGTGCAACCTCCGCTTGTCCGTTCTGAGCTGCTATGAACAAGGGGGTGGCTCCGTCATCCTTGGCCTTGTCCTTGTCCGCATGTGCCTCCAGCAAGAGGCGTGCAACCTCCAAATGTCCTTTCCGAGCTGCAGTGTGCAAAGGGGTGCAGCCATCTTCCACGGCCTTGTCCGTGTCTGCATTGGCCTCCAGTAAAAGCCGTACAACCTCCAACTTTTCGTTCTGAGCTGCGATGTGCAAAGGAGTGGCGCCACTTCGCACGGCCTTGTCCTTGTCTGCATTGGCCTCGAGTAAAAGCCGTACAACCTCCAACTGTCCTTTCTGAGCTGCGGTGTATAAAGGAGTGGCACCAATTTCCACGGCCTTGTCCTTGTCTGCATTGGCCTCCAGTAAAAGCCGTACAACTTTCAAGTGTCCGTGGTGAGCTGCCATGAACAACGGAGTGAGGCCAAGGCTCCAGGCCTTGTCCTTGTCCGCATTGGCCTCCAGCAAAAGGCGTGTCACCGCCAGGTGGCCGTACTGGGATGCCGCAAACAGCGGGGCTTGACCACCCGCATCTGGGTCTTGCGGCCTCTGTAAAATACTTTCCACTTCTGCTGCTCGGCCGTTTCTTGCGGCATCCCAGAGTGCGTTCATTTGCTCTTGAGATGATGAGCAGAAGCTTAGAAGTACCACCTGAACTTCGCCGGGTCTCACCGCATGTTCGTCATCAAGAACGACATCACCATCCAGAAACCAAAGCCTTTGCCTGAACCTTGACAGTCCGCACAAGGTTTGCAAGCGGTGCTTCAATGCCCGGACAGGATGCATGCCTTCGTTGCTGAGTCAGTACGCTTAAATGTCACTCTGAGTTCTAATGGGGACACTATTATTTGCAACAGTGTAAAGTGTACTCAATCGGCTAATGAGATGCCTTCAGGCACGGACTCGAGGAAGTTCGCCAAGTCAAAGGCATCGATGTCTTCCCCCGACACTGCACGCATCCGCAGCATGTCTGGCACTGACTGGAAGGGACTCGGACCCCTGCAACCAGAAAATATGGGAGCCTGGAAAGGTACAACATGTTCGCAGAACATCTTATCGTCAAACTGTACCAAGGAGCAACCAGGACTAATGCTACTAAAGTTTCGGACCCCTGTATATGTGCACCCCTGACCAATAAAGTCCATCCGCTTCATAAGGAATGTCGTCGGAAGCCACTTTTGTTCTCATTAGGGCCAGTCATGGGGTTTATCAATCAGGGGTCTACCAACCTAAACCATAAACCCCTAAACTGCTGAGTCAAGCTACTGCTCGGAAGATTTAGGGTTCAGGGTACAGTTTCGGGCTTACGGGGTTGAGGGTGCAGAAGGCTTGCCCAAACTCGGGGCATTCTAAACCACCTACAACCAACCCACGCAGGGTTCTCAAGTAGCAATATGATGTACAGTTTTAGGGCCAGCTGTGCTTATGAACTACAGCCCCAAGTCAAACAACCAAATCGAAATTCGATGAAACCCCTGTAAGTACAGCATTAAAGAGTTCTTACAAGGACATTTCTCCAGAAGGCCGCTAGAGCCACTGTTTAGGGTTTAGGGTCTACATGGGTTTTAGGGTTTTTGGTTAAAGTGCCATGACCCTTGGGTTTAGGGTTTGGGTAATACGGCTTAAAAGTTTCAAACCTCTCAAGTCGTGGTACTAAGCCGTACACCCCTACACCTTGGACCCTAAGTTCTGAAGTCCCAACCCCAAAATCCTTGAAGCGCTTCTTGTGGAATTTTTGTAGCCTGAGAAGTTCCTACTTGTCGGGAGCCCAGTCCTAAACTACTCCCTGGCCTCTAAACACCTCTCTTCGCAGAACATAGCGTAGATCTCTCATTCATGGGATGCTGGCTGCCGCATCAACTGCTGTTAATTATTGCTATATTGCTTTTCCGCCATTCGTATCGCTAGCAATATCGTTGAGGGGTCTGTCCGAAACGCGAAGCTCTACTGTCTACTTGGAGGCCCTGTTGACTTAGTAAGTCTACTTAGTATCCCCTAGAAACCCTATTATAATCCCCATAACCCACCTTACTAAGTCAAAAGGGCCTCCAAGTATTCCCAAGTCTCTAAAACCTGTTTAGTCATAGGGATCCTTAGGGGTGTAGGGGGAGGGGGGTAGGGGGCCTTAAGGCCCATAATAAGGACTAATAAGGCCTATTTAAGGAAATATAGTCCCCTACACCCCTCCCCCCTACACCCCTAAGGATCGCTATGATTTAGGGTGTAGGGCCTTTGCAAAACCATGTACCCTGCAACCCCAGAACCTGGAGCTTGGAACCCTCATCCCCCAAACACCCTAAAGCCCAAAAAGGGCCTGGGATTTAAGGTAGAAGCCAGAAAGTTGGAATATGATTATCCTAACCCTTCTGTGGTAAATTATAGGGTATCCTACCATGAAACCATATTCCAACTTTCTGGAGTTCCCTGTAGGGGTTCAGGGCTTACTTGGAGGCCCTTTTGACTTAGTAAGTAGGGTTAGTAAGGTGGGTTATGGGGATTATAATAGGGTTTCTAGGGGATACTAAGTAGTAACCCCTAAGCCCCAAAACCCTAAACCCCTAAACCATAATAGGGGTTTCTAGGGGATACTAAGTAGACTTACTAAGTGCCTCCAAGTACGGTTTGGCTTCACGGCTTGGGGTTCACGTGACCCCGGAAGGTGCTGTAAGCCGGGGCATCCTGATTCACACCTCCTCCCGCCCCCTTAGTAAGGGTTCCTTAAAGGCTCCTTAGGGGTTCCTTAAATGGATCTATAGGGTTTAGGTTTAGGGTCTACTTTAAGGGATCATGGGACTTAGTAACTGGGGTTATAATTAGGGTAACTATACTTATAACTACTTATAACCCCAGTTAAAGGTACTTATAACCTTACTTACTAAGTCCCATGATCCTCCAAGTAAGTATTACTTGAGAGTTCCTCATTCTCAGGGCCGTAAAGATGTAATCACCGACCTGAGAAAAAGTGCTTACTTCTCGCGGGTGTACATAACCTCCTGATGTGCTGCAAGAAACAGTGCCACCCAAATATGTGCAGCCTAATGGACATGAGAAAAAAACCTAATACAGAGACTTCTAAAGCCTGGAACTCTTGAACAAGACTTTTCGCGAGCCATACCATGTGATAGGACACCCCTGCTAAACATCTGGGTTGTTGTCAATGTAAGGGTCCCTTTTTGGGTCCGTATTGTAGTACGATATCTAGGGTACCCAAAACGGAACCCTAATTTTGACAACCACCCATCTGAAGCAGAGTCGCATGTTGGATCCCGACCGAGGGAGTCCACCTTATTTGGAGGCTTGGTTTAGGGTTTAGGGTTGAATAAGGGGTTTAGGGCTTAGGATAAGTTCTTGACGTGTTGGGTTCGAGGGGTTTAGTGGTTAGAATTACTTGAAGCACCTACCCGTAGGTTTTTTCAGGGTTTCAAAGGATTGCACAAGGCTGTAGATGCTTCAGAGTGCTTGCTGTGATGTCTTGCTGGCAACGGGCTGTTTAGCTAGGATACCCAGTAACCTAAGAATAAAAAGGCCTCTCTTTTTGGTATTGGGTAACTTTATTAGGAACCTAGGACTACAAAAAGGGAATAAGGGTACTACTGGGCATCCTAGGTAGAACCTCCGGATTTGAACTGTCGTGTCGTTTCAGAAGACTCTCAAGTAACAGAAGGTTAACCGTTCAACTTCAATAGGGCTTCAAAGTGGGTACCCTAAACCCTAAGCCCCAAACCCCTACAGCTGTCTGGCTCTTAGTAGGCAATGGGGGAAATGGGGTATGGGGACGACTATTGGGGATTATATAGGGACTACTATAAGGATCCATTCCCCCATTCCCTTCTAAGAACCAGACAGTTTCCAAAAAGCCATTAAAGAACCCTTAAGGGAACCCTTATAGATCCCTTCAAGGAACCAACCCAGTCAAACCCTAAGCCCTAAACCCTAAACTAAGAACCAGACAGTTAAAGTTGAAGCTTTGCAAACTCAACGCTAATGGGCTTTTTTAAGGGATCTATAAGGGATCTAGAGGGTTTAGAGTTTAGGCGATTCTAATAACCCCTTCTTTAAGGAATGTACCTTAAATCATAATATTAAGGCCCCTATAACTTAAGGTATATTCCTTAATTAAGGGGCATTGGGTTCTCTTGGCGGGTCCAGATACGCCCCACGGCTTCGGATGCAGGGCTGAAGGCTTAGATCGGGTGCTGCCGCCATGCAGTAACAGCCTATAATTTGGATACTGTAGCTAGGATACCCAGTAACCTAAGAATAAAAAGGCCTCTCTTTTTGGTATTGGGTAACTTTATAAGGAACCTAGGACTACAAAAAGGGAATAAGGGTACTACTGGGCATCCTAGGTAGACTGTCTTGGGCCTTGTGTATCTATGTTACAAATAGGGTTCAGCTGTTACGGAGTTGGGGCAGTATCAAAAGTCTGGAAAGCTTTTAAGACCCAAAACCGAATCCGCCTTTGCGAGGGTAGCCCGTCCATGCCCAGCAACACAACAAGGCATCTGAGGTTCAGTGGTTGGGAGATTTCGCAGCCCTTCAACACCCAGAACCCCATGATGTTTTAACCTATGTGTTTGGACCACATACAAAAGCCCACATGATCAATGTCATCGCCAGTGTCATGTCACAATTTTCTGACCTCAAATGCCAACGCCAACAGTGCCCCACGATTATCATTATTGTGCACGGCGGTAATCGCAACAGGAAAGGGCTTGGCAGCTGGCTGTCAAGTCTGAGCCTTCGAGGTACATCCCAACGAAAGCAGTAAATTGATGCGAAGGCAATAGAAGTAAAATCATGAAGTCACAATCGCACAACAGCTAACCAGTGGTTTTGGGGGTTCCCTTGGCTCTTTAGCTCTTCATTTAATAGGGATTGTCATCATCCCTGGCTCCTTAGCTCCCATAATATCAATGGTTAGACAGCCATACTTAGGAGCAATCATGGCAGCACTGGTACTGTCACTGCTTGGAGGCCCTTTGGACTTAGTAAGTCTACTTAGTATCCCCTAGAAACCCCATTATAATCCCCATAACCCCACCTTACTAACCCTACTTACTAAGTCAAAAGGGCCTCCAAGTGGTACCAACAGGCATACCAATTGCGATCATAGCAATACGTTAGGTACGGCCCCCACTCGGTAATACTTGAATAATGTTCATAATATAGATATAGTAGGACCTTAATAGTAGCCCTTTTATAGACTCTTACTGTATGGGGGCCGTACCTAAGCAATACGAATCGTAGTCATACTCGCAAGCAGTGACGCTGGAATAGCCACATGAAGAGCTTAACTAGACCTAAGAGTAACCCAGGAATAAAAAGGGTGCCCTTTTTGGGATAAAGGGGATTATAAGGGAACCTGAACCCTAAAAAAGGGAATAAGGGCCTACTCTGGGTCCTAGTTAAAGTCCACGTATGGGCAGTTCAAGCTTGGGACTCGAAACCCTGATTTCCCCGACGTGTACGGACTTGAAATCCTAGGACGCCCAGTAACCAAGGAATAAAAGGGCTCCCTTTTTGATATTGGGTAACTTTATAAGGAACCTGGGACTACAAACAGGGAATAAGGGTACTACTGAGCATCCCATAATTTGCTTCGAAATCAACTCCACAATACGTGAATGTCATGCGTACTATGCAGACACACACCTCAACAACCCTTGCAACTTAGCAGTCCTGTTGACGAGCCAACGAAACACTCAGGTTTCGCAACTGCTTTCAGGCAGTCTAGGTTGCCCAGGAACAGCTGGAACATATTGGCGCTCTTTCCCTGCAGTCCCATTAAATGAAATCACCCCCTCTTATACCCTACATATACCCAAGACCGCTCTTCCCGTGCTATACCTTTGACAGGGCGCACAAGCTGAGGATCGTCATAAGCTCGCAGTACCTCGCTTGAAGGGCTTTGAAAGGTCATGGTCTGCTATATTCAGTGTCATCACCTGTCCAAGACTGAGTGTCG